GGGAGGGGAAAATAAACTCTCCATCAACCTAATCTCATATCTCTAACAAAAGTTAACTGAAAATGAACCACAGGCTTAATATAAAACTATTAGGTCTTCTAATTAAACATTGAAACATCAGAAACTAGAGCTAGGCAAATTCTTAGACTTACTTAGTGCTGAAAGTATAATCCAAAGAGGAAGAATAAATCATTTGAACTTCATTAAAATTAAAAAGTTTTGCGTTGTAAACCATCCAGTTAAGAGGGTGAAAAGGCAAACTACAAACTGGACTGGACGGAAATATCTGCACACCACATATCCAAGGAAGGACTACTACCTAGAATATATAAAGAACTCTCAACATTCCACAGCCAAAATAGCAAATAATCGAATTAGAATATGGGCAAAAGACACAAAGAAACATTTTACTGAAGAAAATACGCAGATGGCAAATTAGCACATGAAAAGATGTTCAACAACATTAGTCATTAGGGAAATGCAAATGAAAACCACAAGGAGAGATCACTACACACTTATCAGAATGGCTTAAAAAAAAAAAAGTAACAACAGCCAAAGTTGGCAAAGATGCAAAGAAACTGAATCACCCACCCATAACGCTGGTGGGAAAGCAAAGTGGTACAGCCACTCTGGAGAAGAGTCTGGCAGTTTTTACACTCACCATGCAATTAACATACGGCCCGTAATTGCACTCCTCCCCATTTATCCCTGCGCAATAAAGACATCAGTTCACACAAAACCTATGCATGAATGTTTATAGCTGCTTTATTCATAATAGCCCCAAACGAGAAACAACGTAATAAACAGAGGTACATTCCTGCTATGGAACATTACTTGGCAATAAAAGGAACAAACTCTTGGGTGACTCTCCAGCTGACTGAAAAAGCCCATCTCTCAAGATTCCATACTTAGGATGCCAGTTTTCAGTCAAGCTGGAAATGACCAAGGTACAGAAATAGAGAACAGATTAGTGGTTGTCAGGGGTTAAGAAGAGGGGGAGGGAGGGAAGTGGGTTTGGCTATTGCGGGTCGATAGGATGGATCTTTGTGGTGATGGAAACATTGAATTCTTGACCGTTTCAAGGTCAACATCTGGCTGTGCTACTACATTCTAGTTTTGAAAAAAGCATCTTCACCACAGGGTGCAGGACGGGTGTACACTCTTGTACCATCCAACTGCACGTGGATCCATAAATATCGCAACATAAAGTCTCATTAAAAAACACTTAGGGCCCTCTTTCGTGGCGCAAAGGGTAAGGACGCAGCACTGCAAGATGGCCGCGCTTCAGTGTGAGTTCGATCCCCGCCCCGGAGCTGACCCACAGGCGCAGCAGACCT